TGGATGCTGCTAATATTAAACTGAACTTGTGCTCCAGTGCTGCTGAACATTTCAGTTAGTTTGCGACATTTAGCGGCTTCACTCTCTAAATGTCACTTTTTTTTTCCCTCGCCTTCTCAGCCCCCTTTTCTTTCCGTTTTTTACCGCCGTTATCCATATTGTTTCTACTGTCTTGGAACGGTCTTTGCTGGCTGGGCTACTTCTTCTTCTTGTCCTTAAATGGCTGGACTGACCGGCCGGGGCAGCTGGGCACCAACTTAAAGGTGCACTGCTGCGACCTGGACCTACTGGAGTGGAAACAGTAGATTAGCAGGGGGAAAAAAAACAGGGGTTTGATGACTGCGTGGCGGGTGGTGGGGCCGGCCGTCCTGGAGTACCGGCCGTTCTGTGATTCTCCAGATCACACAGATGGCCAGTCCGCCCCTGCCCTGGCCTCAGTTTCATTCTCAGTCATGCTTCAACTCTTTGGCAGGTGTCAACACACCAGTGACCCAGACGGCACATCCTGGAGACTCTGTTACCATCAGCTGCAAGTATCCAGCAGAAGAAAAGCAGCAAGAAAACATCCTCAGGCGCTTCTGCAGAGAAGATGGAAACTCTGATTGCACAAATCTGATATCAACTTACACTGCAAATTACACAAAACTAGACAGGTTTTCTCTAACAGACGACAAACAGCGAGGAGTCTACACTGTGACCATTTCCACAGTGACGCAGGATGATTCTGGAAGATACCGGTGTGCTACAGAAATAAATAAATCTATTGCATGTTTAACTGAGATCCATCTGTTTATTTTCAGTGAGTATTTTTATACTTTTAATCATTCTGATTCAAAACTAGTTAACATAACGCAAGCTTCTATATACAAAAAACACATTTCACAAGAAAAGTGACATTGATCTCTGTTTTTTCAGACCCAGATGACATTACATCAGTGGAAAAAACTTGTGACACTGGGGACACTGTACAAATCGTCTGTAATTATCCGGACAACCATGAGAGCAATGAGAAATTCCTGTGCAAGGGGGAAAGTCCTTTGAATTGTGAAGAGCTAATACATATAACACAACTGAATAGAGTGGTGGTCAAAGGCAGGTTTAATATTAGGGATAACAAGAGACTGAAGTACTTCTATGTGAAAATCAAGAATGTGAGCACAGCCGACTCTGGAACGTACTGGTGTGTCTCTAACAGGTCATGGCAGGATGCCAAATACAACAAAACTCTCCTTACTGTAGGTGAGTACACTGAGCCCTTTAGTGTTATAACTCAAGTAAAACGTATTCACTCTACAGAAAATACACAAAAAGTGTGGGCTGATGTTGAGGAATAGAGGTACAGTAACTTTGTACTTTATTATTATTCACCTAGTAAAAATAAATAGTTCTACAGAGCTGCATAACTGTACTGGAAAAGAGAGAGAGAGAGAGAGAGAGATTACAGATGTAATCATTAAGCTTTCAGTCCTGGTTGATAGAGTGACACCCGTGGTTACCGTGGTAATAGCAAGTGTGGTTTAATACTACAGCCAACACTCCTTGAGCAGCTTTGTTGTCAGAAATACAGTTTCTGAATCTGTTTACAAACAGTTTTTAACAAACTTGTGTTATTGGTATGAGTTGGACTCCACCATTAATGATGAAAAATACTATATAGAAAAAGGTAATTACAGAACGGAAATACCTTGAATGGCTATTGCAGAAAAAATGCAGACCATAAATAGTATCAAAAAAGGAGTCTGAGTTCATGAAAATCTTAAGAAATGAAACTGCAGAAAAATGCAGCTTACATGTTAATGCATAAAAGAAATAAAAATAAAAAACTATATGGTATTAATGTTTTAATATAAGACTGACTGGAGCCATTGTGCTTGTAGAAGGTCATTTTACTTTTGAAGTAAATTTTGCTGCCAATACTTATGTAGGTTACTTCAAGGAACGGAATACAGGGCGTTTACTTGTAAAGGAGTATTTTATATTTAACTTTTTTTTTTAAATGATATGAGAAAGTACTATAAAGTACTACAATGACACTGATGGAGTACAGAACCAGGAGGGGGAACAAAGAGAATGTGAAAACAGATGTGGGAGATTAGCGTCTTGCATTTAAAACATCTGTGCGCATGTGTTTTTTTACATGTAGTAATTTTATTTATGCCTTTCACCAGCTTCTGGTGCAGCTGAGAGACGCATCAAAACCAAAGACAGAAAACCTGCCCCTCGCCAAGACAGACCACACGAAGATGGTGCAAACAATGAAGAAGAAAATTACAAGAAAGATGAATATGAAGATGAAGATGAAGAAGAAAATTACAAGGAAGATGAATATGAAGATGAAGAAGAAAATTACAAGGAAGATGGAGATGGATCAATGAAATCAAACATAGGTGATCTCATCAGTTTCATTAATGCTTACAAACAGCTGCTTTATATACCTCCATAAATATACACACACTTCTACTGCACAAACACACACTGACACAACCTCTCATTTATGCATGAATGCTGAGGGCAATGAACCTCTGCTGACAGCTTGTATTCTTTAATAGTTTCTACTGTTGTCTCTTGGTTGCAGGTATTGTGATTGGTAGTGTGGTAGGGTGTCTGGCAGTGATACTGATACTTGTGGTTGTACTAGTGCTATTCAGACACAAACTCCCCTGGGCAAAAGGTGAGGAATGGAAAAACACACACTTTATTATTTGAATTTGTAGCTTTATAAACATTCTTCTTTTCTTGAATTCTCCTTTTGATTGGCAAACAGATTGTTGGTAGCTTTACTTGCACATTTTGACAGCAAGGGGTAACTTTGAATACAGACAGATACAAATATCTTGCTCCCATGTGTTCAAATGTCCTTTTCCTCAGCATGGTGTACTGCAGGTGGATCATCAGAGCAGAGGACAAATAACACAGAGGTGTGTTTGTGTGTGTGTTTCTGTGTTTGCCAGTTTGCATATGAGCACAAGGGCTGCACCTCTCACCACTCCCCTTCTTTCTCTGCAGGAAAATCATGGAGATCCCAACTATGAGGAGATACAGATTCAGAACCAGGAGGCGAGCTCAGGAGTCGTACTGCCGTCCGTTTACGCCACTGTCAGCTCTCCCGCAGATCAGCTCCACTATGCCAGTATCGACTTCCAGAAGGACGCACATCCTGACACAAATAAAAATGGCTCCTCTAAAACTCCAGCAGCAGAGCAGACTCTCTACTCTACAGTCACAAAGCCTGGGGAATGAGATAAGAGTCTATTACCTGATGACGTTTACTGTGCAGTTTGAGGGGCACATGAACACTTTAACATTTTACCTAAGGCTCTGAAACTAGGGGCTGTACTCCTCCAGAAAATGCTTTCTCAACTGGTGGGCCGTGGACTCTGGACTTCTGAATGGGACAGAGTGTGTGGTCGAAAAACAAAAATCTATTTTAAATGCTTAGCTATCTGATGTCTGACGTTATATTGACAGAAAAGCTTCCATAGCTTATTGTAGGCCTTACCTATTTTGATGATGTTCATTTTATTCATAATCACAAGAATCAGCAGCACACAGTTGTTCATACTCAATTTATTATTATTAGAGTAATGAGCTCTGATTGCAGGGAAGACAACATTTGATGTTACAAAAAGACCACAATAACATTGTATATGTGTTTACAAGTCTATTTGAAAAATAAATGTGCTTGGTTTGAATTGTATAAAAGTGTGTTACGACTTAATGACGAAAATGTGGGTCCCAGAGTGAGACCGGGGGTGGGTTACGTGTGACTGGAGGTAAGAATCTGATTGTGGTGAAGTGGTGTGATGCTTGCAAGGCTATAAAGGTTATTACTCAGCTTTGGAAGAATGTACATGTTAGGCTGTTTTATTAACAGTGTGTTCTTATATAACTGTTATATAATGCTTTATTCATAGATAATCTGGAACAACTTGATCTTTGTTGAATACTGACTATTGGCTATACATTTTAATATGATATTATTACATTACAGTAGCCAGAGAGGTTAAATCACACTGATAGATGACATAATAAAAGTGAACCAGGCAAGACACCTCACACTAACTGCAGGATAATCTGCCACGTCCATTAAAGTAATGAACAGCCTGCATACAGGATACTTATATCAAATACAATGAGAAACAAAACTTTTTCTCGTTAACCTTGTTTAGTCCTGCAGCGCCCTCTTCTGGTAGAACTGGTGATCATCAGCAGGTGATTGGCTGATGTGACTGCTCATACATTATTTCAGCGTCCTAGATTACCACCACCTGATACAGAGAAACAGCGTTTGTCTTTTTGTATCCATCTCATAGCTGTTTTTCAGGACAAATTTAAGGAATTTTAAGCTAAAAGGACAAACTTTGGAAGAAACTCACTGTATGTGTCTTATATTTGCCTCATGTTAGACACATAAACTTCTAAATACAAAACGAAGACTATGGGTTTTGTCCCCAAAGAATGCACAGAAGGAATGATTACAGCAATCAAATCCTGTTTCAGTGTCCATATGGGCCTTGACTATTGTTATATTTGTTAATGGGTCATTATATTATTGACACTATATAGGGTAAATGAGACACAGCTTGCCCAGTTTGTTTGTGAATATCAGGCATAATTTTATTAGTTAAAGGCTGGTAGCACCATGAGGAGTCCAAATAGACACACACACAGGCTCTCAGTGTCTGGCTGTAAGTTCATGAATTGATTAAAAAAATAAATCCACGTGGAAGTTTTGGAAATAGTTTAAGATGATCTTATTTTTATATCTCTGTCATATAGCAGCATTCTATTAGCTGAAAACCTTTGAGTCACACTTTATAGGAGTGGTCAGAGTTATATATAGCACATAACCTGCAGGTTATTTTCTTGTAAAATTCTGAAAATGTATCACGTTATTTCTTAATTGTTCATTGTTAAGCTTATATAATTTATATCAATAAAAAAATAATCTATCTAATGTAATCTGTTCATAATTTGAGCGAAATGTAAATGATGCAAGGCCTGTTTTAGGCAAGTTATCTAAGCAAATACATGTTGAATGCAGTAAACGTTTTGCAGAGTCGATCTATTTATGTGTGTATGTGTACGCACACACAGTTAGAGATCACGTGCACAACACACACACACATAGACATAGACACACGCTTGCAAACAACATCCCTAGAGTTAAAAAATTTAAGCCCTACAACCAACAGTTATTTCCATTAAAGATTAATCTTCTAAATTAGTTTGGTCAATGGAAACTCCTCACAGTTTGCTCAGAGCCAGCAGCCCCTAACGAGGCAAACAGGAGCTGATCAGGGAGCAAACAGGGAGGACTGTTACTTAATAGTGTTAAAATATTCTAAACTAGAAGCAAAGGCCAGTTTAATAAAAGCCTGTTTAGAATAAAGCTCTGCCTCTGTCCTACTGTGACTCTGATACCAGAGCTGAAGCTTTTCTACGTTTTTTTTTTTTTTTACAGCAAGTCTGAGAAGCTGTATTGTAAAAATGATAACATGTCTGTGCACATTGACGGACGTCCCAGCTGACCAATGGCAGGGGGGACTGACGCTTGAGGCGGAGCCACAATCTCCGGCGGAGGCTGGGTGTCGCCTGACCGGATGATGACAGAAGTTTTCGGTCTAATGTGGCTACTTTTATCATGCAATCACCCAGTCAATAACCTCGCCAGTGCTCTGACTGCTATCGGGACTCCTGGCTCTAAACTGCGTTGTGTTTTCATGAAATAAACTCACAGAGACTACGACAGGCTGCAGTGCCATCTGGAAACTTTTGGTTTGCTGGAGGAGCGACCCTTTGGCTATTATTTAACCGGGGAGGAAGACAGGATAGAGCCCTCTGGGCTGACCGAAGTGCCGCAATGGGAAACCGGGGAATGGAAGACCTCATTCCCCTCATCAACAAGCTCCAGGACGCCTTCAGCTCCATCGGCCAGACCTGCAACTTGGACCTGCCGCAGATAGCGGTGGTCGGCGGCCAGAGCGCAGGGAAGAGCTCCGTGCTGGAGAATTTTGTCGGGAGGTTGTACCGTTTATATATTTTGGGTTCATGTGACTTTGTTGACTGTTTGTTGCTGTTTATTTGAAATGCAAACTACGCTGAGCTTTTGCGTAAATGTCGCCAACTAAGCACTTGGTTACGCGCTCTGTGTCGGTGCCTCCCAGTTTCAAACGTTTTTCTTCCAACGGATTCTTTCCATTTTGGAGCTGAGCTATTCCGGATGCAGAATTACGCATTTTACGCAAGTAAACAGCTGTTAACTGAGAGGAAAAAACTGAAAGAAAAACTGAGAAATTGGTCTAAAAGGTGTTGAAAGATGACTTTGGTCTAGAGCTCCATGTCCTAATAAAACTGTAACCAGTCACTGCTTCATATAAGGCCCATTCTGTCAAACATTCACAAAGGCTGTGCTTCCTTGAGACTGCTTGCACGAGATTGTAAATACACATTTATAGGCCTAACATTACATAGTTCAGGTCAATGTTTAATGTTTATGATTACATTTAAGGGTGAGGCACAGAGAGGTTGTTGGCAGTGTTGAGGAGGTAATTGTCAGATAGATGAATTACTGGAGAGTCACACTGACAGTACATAGGGAAACGTCTGCGCTCCCAGTACGCTGCTGACTCTGTTTGTGAGGTTGATGAATGAGTTTGAAGGAATTTGAAGGAGCAGTTGTGTTTGATGCCAAATAGCAGCAAACCAACTGCTGCATTAATGCCATATGTCAGGATCACTCTCCTCACTTTACAGTCGAAACACAAGCAGTGGGAGAAAATCTATTCTTAAGGAGAGGGGAAGAAGACATGGCTGTGTTGCTGCCTAATCTAGTGAAGATATCCGTAGCAGCTTTGTGTTTTTATCTCCAAGTGAAGGTTCCCAGAAAAGGGAATGTCAAAATGATTTCACTTGTTGTCCAAGAGATAGGGAATGTTGATTAGGCAGCCACGTCTCCTTTTTTTCCTGTTGCCTTTTGTCCCTGAGTCCCAAGCAGTGGCTGGGGGAGACAGTAGGGGCATTGATGTGTTTGTGCAGGGGTCATCAGTGATGTCACCAGCTGCACTGTCATGTGTATATGACACACTGGGTACCAGATACCCACAGAAGGCTACTTAGCTGTTTTCATGTTTGTTAATTAGCCTACTGACACACAGATTTGGCTTGTGAGATTCGTTTATTCATTTTTAGTCAGTCAGGGTTGCCGCTAACGGTTGTTTTAGTAATCTATTTATTGTTTTCCAGTTGTATAGTCCAGTGGTTCCCAACCCGGGGGTAGGCCACATGGGGCACACGATTATTAACTGAATAGAAAAGAAGAAAAAACATCATTGTTCATCTTTACAAACTTCAGTTTCTTGGATTTTTCTATAATCTTCTCTTCTGTTTGTGAAATATTTGGTGGTTTTATCTCTTAGGGTCACTAACAATTATTCAAGTATAACAATCTGAGTTGTTTTGAGGGAAAAAAACACTCTTTTGCACACACACAAGCTGTAACAAGGGGTGGCAAGAAGTCACTGCTTCATTTCAAAGGGGTCAAAATCGGGTTGCAGCTAACAGTTATTTAATTTTCTTATTAATCTGTCAATTAGTTTTTCATTAATTGTTCAGAACTGTCCATTACAAGTTCTGAGAGCCTAAGATGACAGCTTTAAATGTCCGACCGACTGTCCAACATGAAAAGATACTCAAATTACAATGATAGAAAACTGAGAAAAGCACCAAATACTCACATTTAAGAAGCTAAAAACAGAAATTATTTGGCATTTTTGCTTGATTTAAATGACTTAACCCATTAATCAATATTTAATTGTTGCAGATACAATTTACGTTGAATGATTGTTTCTAGTTTTGAACCACTGATTCCGACTTTAACCACACTAATATCTGACCAAAAGCCCAACACTATTTAATCTACAATGATCGAAAACACCAAAAAATGAGCAAATCCTCCCATTTGAAGAGCTGTTATCGGATATTATTGGATAAATGTCTCAGTGATTTAATTAATAACTGTCTTGTTAGTAATCGTATTATTCATGTTGTGCTTTCATAAGAGACAGGAAGAGATGAGGAAAGAGGATGGGAATCACTGTTGTGTAACATCCTGACTGCTCTGTCAGCAGTGGACAGGCACAGCATGTATGTGTTCAAATGTGTGTGTGTGTGTGTGTGGCCTGCTTACCTTACACTGAAAATCAACTCAGTTCTTGTCGCTGACCTGGCAAACACACAGAAAGACAGACTGACATAGACATATTCTCATAGCCTGGAGAGATGTGTAGTCAGTGACCTGGACATGATCACAGTTCTATTGAACAGGAGTTTCCATTCTGATGAATGTGTATGTAATGAGACGGGGAAACAGGGAGACATGCTTCTTTCTCTTTGCACTATTTATAATGGATAGGGTTGTAAGTCAATCTTTTCATTATATCAATAATGCACACATGTACAAGCACAGGCCCTTGGGATCAGTTTAAGTGTGTGTGCTCTTATTTTGGTAGAAGCTGGCACATATACTATGTATTTAGATATTTTAAATGTTTGAAGACGAAATGCTGACATGCTTTCTCTCCAGTTTATATTTATTTACTGAAAAAAGGCATCATGTTGCATCTGTGATTAATGACAGAGCTTTTTTAATATAT